CCGTAAGCATTTTCTTTACTAAAAGAATGATAGTATAAAATTTATGACGTAAGTGCACCTGGATTTAAAGATAACTCGCGATCTTTCCCGACAGTTAATCCTTATTGAAATAATGTTGTTTACATTCTCGGTTTTTTTAATCACCGAGAAACCTTTTAACTCTTCTTGTGTGTATATAAAAAGACCAGTTGGGTTATTTTTATTTTATTCTCAATAATTCCATCGAAAGTGTTAGCAACAAACTTAAACTTAGACCTGGAACATAAAATTTGTGCAGAACATTGCTTCGCTAGAGTATGTGGAAAGACCAAATCATTTGTTCACCAATGCTTATTTACTACTCTTGTTACCCTTACCTTTTTTTGCCAATGTTATTGCAATGTACTTTTCGGGAACGCCCTTTGTGTTAACCAAGTAATCTTTAACAAGCGTAGTCTGAGGTCCTTGGACCATAATTTCATACAAGGGTTTCTTTGGAGATGATTGCTGCGTTGGATTAACTGAAATGCAGATATTGATTGTGATCTTCATCATGCTACTGAAGTTACTTGGGAGAAAAAATTTGAAACTTACCAGCTACGCTACTTGCACATAATTTTTTAAAAGGCTCCACCAAATCATTGGGATCAATTCTGTAATCTTCTAAACCTCGGACAATCGTAACTATCTTGTTACCTGAGCGACTCGCTTCCGAAATTTGTAAATGCTTTGGTAATCCTTTCCTATAATTATGCAATGTGCACCTTAAACATTTTGAAACATAGTCTGTTCGTGAACGATGTCACTGACCTCAATTCAGGTTCATTTCCTGGAAAAGTAAATAAATGGCATGACTCCATGCGTTCTCTGACATGCTGGAATAAATCATCTCGTGTCATTTGGTCAGGTATGGGTTCTTCGGATTTTTTGCCCGCAAGGATTTCACGTAGATTCTCATCAAGAGTAACATATCTTATATAAAGCAGGATACGCATTAAAATAGCATTCTAAAGTTGATGTTTATAAAAAAACAACGAACAAACCTCCGATTACGTTTATCTACGAGATCGTGAGAATTAAAATAATCCGTGACCGTTTCGCGTATTTCTCGAAATCCGTAAGCATTTTC